TATTAGTGAAGTTAGTGTCAAGGAATAAAAATTTCTATGCAGGAGGAACAGTGCCATATTTGACGAGTGTCGAAGACCTCTCCATTTGCGATTTTGTAGCACTAAGACAAATAAAATAATTACTCAATTCAAAATGGTAGAAGACTCTGTGGCATAGGAGGGAGGACAGGGAATAGACAGAAATTGGGGCAAATAGCTCCAACATTGCGACTACTCACATTATTCGGTCTGTCTGCTGCTGAATGTTTCTTTTGTTCACACAGCAGTCGGATCGATTCGCGTATAACTGCGCTGCACCTTCAAATTGCAAAAGTGTTCTGCAAATAAAGCGTCTAGTCCTTTGTGTCTCCGTTACTCTGTATAGGGAGGTGTTTACCAACGGTAACTTTGTACCAGAGAAGACCGATTGAGTGAAAAAGTGTGCACAAATCAAATTTCCGAAAAACCACCCATACAAACGTTTAATTATAAACCGGTCATTTTGACTGCGGATAGCATATAGGTTTACTTTAGAGTAAGATAAATTAAGAAGGCATGCATTGTGCCAGTAAACTGGTTGACGGACTAGAGGGGGTGTTGAAATGACATTTTATGACAAGGCACAGGTGAAGGAGTTTTTTGATTCTCTCAGTTAAAAGATTTCAAAATTTTATATTCCTCTCTTTTATCTCGGCGACAACAGCGAAAGAGAGTAAATTTCCGGCCTAGGATCAAAGGGATTTATAGAAGAGAAAGTTTTTATTAGTGCAAACTTGTTTTCGGTATATGGTGTATATTAGTGACCTTGTTGGATACGAAACCTCCTCTAGTGGGAGTAGAACATAAACATATGGAAACGAAGTAAATTATCAGATAGATTGTTCCTGTAAATGAGGTGATCAACAGTTAATAGTAAAGTACCAGTACGAGGAGGAGTTGGATCGTTATATGATTTCGGGTGACAAACATCCCATGCAATCGATCACCTTAGATTTGCATATTGGCATTTATAAAGTACCTTCCGGCAGAACGCATACCCTGACAAGTTCATCGAGCAGTACTTGAAGAGTGAAAACCTTACATTATTCACGAAAAAATTCGTTATTGCTGTAAACTTTATCAATGACGGTGTCAGTGAACTTCTCAACCACAATGCAATCCACTTTTCATGCTGCCGAACTTAAAACAGGCTCAGTATCCAATCAGGTTATTGCTGGGAAGTTTTAAGTAACTATTTCTATGCATGCCCATCAGTCCGTCTACGTGCTCCTACCGAGTCGGTTACACTGGTCGCACCGGTCGATAGTTGACCATATGTATCCAAGTTCATCGAGCGTGGTTGCGAAAAGGGTTACCGAAGATAATCTGTAGCTTACTCTGCACAAAAGGGCATTCAGTGAATGACAAAAGGTCATTTAAGGTCATTCCTCACTGGTGTTTGGTCGAATCGCTGTCACCCGCCTCAATACCACACCTAAGCTGTTGGGGTCTTATGTGGTTCGCCACTCCAAGTTTCATGGTGTGGGTTACTGGCTTCCTTAAGTGAACAGTGAATTCTCGTCCTTCTACTGTTTATAGGAAAATATTACGGAATAAAAAATTGGAGGATTTCATTGAGTATACCAAGCCAACTGAGGCCCAATAACTGAAGGGAAAGTTGTTCGGATCGCTCAGCTCCCGCTGAGCAAACAAAGCTAGATCATCCAAACCCTGAGGTTGTGATGGCAAAACGACATGGCGTAATCAACCATTGGTGACAATTCGATCAACACGCATTCAAATCATATGGTGAATACTAATACTAATATTACTGGTATCTCTTTATTGCCTATCATAGCAGAAAATCTAGAGTGAATAATCTAGGAGCATCGTTGGTTTCAGTTGTCATTTCAGCACACAGTAGTAATGCTCCGATAGTGCCGTTCATATATCAGGACTGAATAAGAATATTTTTATTGTGAATTCAGTTTGTACAATTAAAGTTGAATCTATTATGTTAAATAAATTTTCTTCGAGGTTTAAAAACCGATGATCTGGGATTACTTCTGTGTAGAATCTCGTTCACTTGAGTATCAGGCCTTAGCTAGCTAGCGCTTTCTCTCTCCCGATTGTTCCAACAAATTTCCGGATTCACTCTCTACTCATCTGTC